TAGAAAACTAAAGACCGTATTCAAGTAATCTCGCAAAAGTATCCCGATGCGAGAAACATAGAGTAACATCATTTTCACAGAAAGAGAAACGCACGGAGGAGCGTCAACGCAGACGTTCTAACTGGATATCCATAAGGCAACACGTGGTTCCGTCGACTCGCCCACGTCCGAAGAAAAGTGGATAATCAGGGCAAAAGTAGGTGAGAAAAGGAAGGTCGAACTCCGCCTTTTTTTTCCCTTCCTCTTCTTCCTCGTATGCCAGAGTTTCCCGTTACTTCGGGGAATCGTGGGAAATTAGGAACTGAGCCAGCCTAATTAAATACGTCGACCTTTTGTTTTCAAGGTGGAAACTGATGGGTGCACGCTCGTGTACACGCACGAACGGTGCACAGTGTGCATAAATCGCGTGTATGTATATGTGTAACACGCACGTGTCAGTCGCTTTCGATCATTTCACAGGTCCTACCAGTTTTCCGATCTCTTCCCGATTTCTACGCCGCGCCGCTGGTCAGTAGGTCGATGCCAAATTGCGAACGCTCGCTTCGCGAAATTTTTGCCGGCGCATACGTGTGCGCAAACGTTACCTTCAATTAACATGTCCCTCGGACGAGAAATGAGAAAATGTTATTCTAGCTGTATTCGAATTTGTAGATTTTCAGGAATAAATATTTTATTCTGACAAGATGATTTCGAAGAGGATTTCAGTAAAAGACAGCGGGGAAATGGTATTGCCATTTATCATAGCCGGTAACGTAGCTATTTTCAAATACGTAGATTTTCGAATTTTTCAGGAATAAATATTTCATTCTAACGGAAAGACGATTTCGAAGAGGATTTCAATCAAAGACAGCAGGAAATACTATTGCCATTTATCATAGCCGGTAGCATAGCTATTTTCGAATCTGTAGATTTTCGAATTTTTCAGGAATAAATATTTTATTCTCATGGTAAGATGATTTCGAAGAGGATTCCAATAAAAGACAGCGGGAAATGGTATTACCATTTATCATACGCCAGTAACATAGCTATTTTTAAATTCGTAAATTTTCAGCAGATTGACAATTTCGAAACGGAGAATTTCAATAAAAGATAACAGAAAATACTATTACAGTTTACCATAGCCATTTTCAAATTTTTCAGGGATCAATATTTTATCCCAATGGCAAGACGATTTCGAAGAGAATTTAAAATGATTTAACGATTTATGAAATGTTAAATGATTAAATATATTACTAATATAATTGCTATTTTATCGATGGATTATTTTAATTTATAGTCGTTAATAAGTGCTCAAGGATTACGCTCTAAATTTATTATCTTCCTGTGAAGGATCATAAGAAAATTAAATTTATATTATTGCTACCTATAATTTTGTATTAAAAATTACAGTTTAGTAGTCTTAATTTAATTGAGAACATATTGTCAGATTGAAGGACTGACTGCTTGTTAACAAAGAATTACTAATATGCGGAAAACAAATGTGCGAAAAAGATTCATACTTTGTTATTGATAGTGTGTTTAGTACTATTTTAAATACGCTTAAGATATATTTTAGATGGACACCTTTATAAGAATGAGGATGTCTTTATGTTAAAGTTAATTTAACGCTAATCTAGTATTTTAGCTGTGAAACATCAAAATCAATCTATCTTAAATCAATTTCAATTTATGTAATTTATGTAATTTGATAGAGAATAGAAAATTCGATGTTGCAGAAAGTTTGATAAATATATGTAATATCAGCATACAAATATTCAATTAATGTACCTCAATGAAAAGCAAGATTACTGTTTCATGCATTTTTTTAGATCTTTGCAAAATAATGTACGTTTTTGCCAAAATTTAATTGAAAATCATCGATAATCGAAATTTAATTAAAAATCATCTAGACCTAATCAAAATTTAATTGAAAATCGTGAAATAATCTTTAACAGTTCGATTGGTGTAACACAAGTTAAAAGGAAAAGGCAAGGGAAGCTGTTGTATTCGCGATAAGAATTTGATACCCATGTGAAACGTGTATATAGGTACTTGTGAATAATCTATCCGATCAACCGGTTCGAAAGAAAGCTCGTACGTATGAAAGATAGAAGATAAAGAAATGAAAGGACTCAGAAGAAACGGGGGAAAGATTGACACGACTGAGTAGCGATCCGAACGGAAGAATGTAATTAGTTGGGAACAACGTATTCAGGAAGTAGTTGAAAACTGCGTAACAGAAAAGTGCGTGGCTCCCGATGAAACGTGGGAAGTACGGGCAACCATCACTTTACTATGAGAAGCGATCGCGATCGTTAAACGTAGAAAAGGTATTTTTATGAATCGCTTTTCACAGACAATGTAGGTGGACTAATCTCAAAATCTACGACAGCTTTTCTAATGGGACGTAATGAACACCTTGCAAAACAGTTTGATCACATAACACGGGTCTACTTGAAAGTACACGCAAATTTTTCTCTTTACACGTCCTTACAAAAAATAGTCAAACACTTTTCTTTCTTAATGATAAGAATTTTTTTTTTAGCTTGTATCTTAAAGAATTTGAAGTGTGTTGCTCATTTTGTGTATTTTTAAACACAATCAACGGTCCACGAAAAATCGCGACCCTTTCTCAGTGAATCCTCTCAACAATTTCTGGTGCTTCAGAGATGACACTATAGGCCAGATTTGAAAGTATCAATGTGAATAAGATTTCGTATCTGAACTGAACGAGTATTTAGTTGAGATAAAATATTAAAATACGAAATTTTGCGATAAAAATAATCTGTCCGATGAAATTTTAAGATATAAAATTATAAAATATTAATTAAATTTTTTAAATTGTACTGTAAGTCTATTGGAGTATTATAAAATATACTTTGTAGTACTACGGTATTAAAGTATAACTTGTAAATTAGATTCCTATGTTTATGTCGGATGAATATTTAATTGAGATGAGCTACTATTAATTTACAGTGAATTCAATATTCAAAATTGTGTAGCGTGTTATTTATCGATCCACTGAACGGTGCAATACGTGCAATTCACTGAGATTTCAATCAAATCTAGTATATTTGCTTCAAAATCAATATTGTTCAATTGATGAAAAAATGAAAGTGATGAAGAAATATTACTCAAAAATGAATCTGCGATACAGGCTTGGTGAAGAAAACTTATTCTTTAAGGGGAAATTGCTAATGAACAGACAATCCAAGGTGGACTTAAAAATGAGAAAGTAGACAACAGAGGTGTTAATTAAGAGAGATCCATATCAAATGATATGGATCTATAAACACTTAACAACTAACATGCAAAGCATTCAAAAATAGATTCTCTAGAAGTTGAACGATATAATCAAAAGAACTAGCATATGAAAGTACTGATTTAATATTTTATTTATATTTTATTAATTTAGAATGAATAAACTGAGAGTGTTTTTGTTTCAACAAAACTTAAAAAAAAACCCTTGTAAACTATAACTCAGCGGGCAGTGTAAAGTAATAATAATTACAATAAACAACTAAAATGCCAGTAAATATTGAAAATGTTGTGCACGTTTCCAACACGAATAATAATCTCTGTCAGGAGGTTTCATCGAACGCAAAGAGTATCGGTAGAAAGTTAATTCAGCGCATCTTACACGGGAAGATGGATAGATTTGCTATGTTACGTTATGAAAATGGATTTACGCGTTGAGAACGCAAACATCCACTTGGGAAAACGAGTTTGATAGTCTCGTGCCAGTGAAATCGATGCTGAAGAATTATTAGCCCTTCAAAGATAAATGGAAATAGAGATTGAAAGACCTATGTATGTTTGATTTCTCAAGCAAAAAGTGTTATTCGTCGAAGAAACGTGACAGACGAAATTGCTAACGGCACAAGGATAAGGGTGGTTTTTATACCACGTGTCTACTATTATATTTTCTTAAGATATTGTAGATAGATTTTACAGAAGTTGTGACACCGAAGAATAAATGTCAGTGTAATAAAGAATAAAAGAATATAATAAATAATAATAGTTGACAAATCTCTGTAACTTGATAGCAGTTTAATTTTAAATCTACATTTTTTATAGAAAAAATGCTGTTATAGAAAAATATCTATGTGACAAAAAGTATGTCATGAGAATGAATTAATGTTGATTTAAGAAACAACTAAAAATCAGCGAATAATTTTTCATTACCTAAAATTGCTTTTTAATCCTTTTCCTAATTATTAGCAGAAGGAATAAAACAAACAGAAATGGAATGTTACTTTTATCACGCGTTGCTTTGTTTAAACGCTACTTGAAAGGAAATCTGTGTTTATTTGTTAATTTTATTCGTTGGAAAGAGCTGGTTTGTTTTCTTGCAAAATCACGTATTACGCATCGTTATGAGGTATTATTTTATCATGATAAAAATTATATTGTATTCCTGGCAGATTTTAATCTTAAAGAGAGAGAGAGAGAAAGAGAGGCATTCGCTTTATTCTCGAGACTCTCGTGGGTTTCCAGCAACTTTAATTAAATAGTTAATTTCACATTTACCTTAAAGAGCAGGCAGATGCTCTCTTTAAGATAGGTAAACAGGAGATTTCACAAATCTTCTTACATAATTTAAACTCTAGCTGAACTTGTCCTTTACATTAACACCATGAGACGTTATTTACTATGCAAGAAATCATATTCTATTACTAGTTTTTAAGTAAACAATTTTTCAATAACATGATAAATTCTCATTAATCAGAAACAATTTATTTTTTGAAAAAATTTGAAAAAAGCCTTTGAAAAAATATTCCTAGTCTGACAAAAATTTCAACGTACTTGATAAAAATAACAATGTAAAAAAAAGCAGAAAATAAATTGCGATTAGAACGTATTTTCAAATTCGCTAAATTTCTACCCCAACTATCACATCAACTAAAAAATTAACGCATATCGTTCCAATATCAATACCAATACAATATTCATCCAGTCGTTAAATTCTACAACGATCAGCATCAGAAAAATTATTCAAAATAAATCGTAAAAAAACGAACCTCGAGTAGCCAGGCCAACGACAATTAGAAGGAACAGAGCACTCCTCTCCATGTTCTCCCGAGCCGATAGTCCTTCCAATAAACTTTGGTCCCGAACAATCAGCCGGTAGTCGTTTCTCCGTGACAACGACCAACGAAGGATCTGTTATGGTAGCACACCAACTGGCGATCTTGTTGTTAATCCAGTAGAAAAGGGGCACTCTCCGAATTCACCGAATGTATCGCGAGGGTAACGTCATTTCGCGATCGTTTCCGGAGGATCGGGATGTACACCGACTGAGTTACCGGAACTGTTCGAAGGAGACACGAGTTCTTTTTCTCTTTCTGTTTTATTCTTGTTTTGCTTTTTTTTTTTTTGTTTTATGATGACGATACGTGTTTTTTGGTGGCAGGTGATTTTCGGGGATACGTGGACTCGAACAACCGACGTGAAATGATCTTTCCTGAAGACTGAGGTGCTTACTCCCTGGCAGGAAGTCGTCCAGGTGTTCTGCTCCCCCACTTGCTGCTCTTCTCTACCACCTCTCCAGCCAGGTAACGACCGATGTGCTGGTTGCCATCGAGAACGAGGCTGACTTGTGCGACTGACTGACTGTTCGTCCTCTGTACTTACATGCTCCTCCGGTATTCAGGCCAACTTTTGATGCGACATCGCCAAGCCTCGAGATGACAGGACTCTCCTACCGGAGAGCCGTGACGAATATTCGATTTGGACATGTTGATTCGCAGGATGCATCGCGGCGAACACGTTGAAACATCGAATCTGGAACATACGAGGGAATGTACGAGTGAAGTTTAGAGCGTTAGAGAATCCTACTGGTAGCATCAGCTTGATACTGTATAGTAACTTTAGATACACTGTGTTTCTTAAGAAAAGTAATGTATTTAATTGAAATAAATCCCATACGATCCTATACACTTCTCTCAATGATTAATCAGTTTCATTATTCCAAATTTATAAGAATTATTAGACTTTGAGTGAAAAAATTCTTTGAACGCTGCTTTTACCGTGTCTTCATTTCGGGATAATTTATTTGTTAAAAACATTGTTCAGGTGTTTGAAGAAACGGTAGACTGTTGGGGAAAGGTCGAGTAAACGGGGGAGGATGTGGGAAAATTTCGTATTCTTTACCGTGGATTGTTTTCAATGATTTTTCTTAAAACGTTATCATCCTAGGCCCTATCTGATCTTCAATTTTGCACACTAACGTTGAAGTATTTTAACATTTTCATAACCTTTTGAAAATGCTACATTTATGTTTTTAGTAGTTTCTATCACAACTCTTCCACGTTTATCTTCGATAAAAAGAACCGTTGAAAATGTTAATTACTCGTTAATAAAGATGCATATAATGCAAAATTTTTTTTCTAAATAATATCTCGCTATTTCTCGTAGAATCTGAGATTATTTTGTGGCTCGATGTTGAGCAATTCGAAATATATCAACTGGCAATTTTGTTTCAATTAATAGCTGCACAATACATATTCGTGACCCGTAACTATTAAAGCCTGCGTAAAATCTTAACGAGTTAGAGACGTGAATTTTGATCGTTAATTATACATACATCTCGTGTGCTACCAATTTAACTTTAAAAAATGTATCAATTTGCATCGGATGCTACTAGAATTTTCCAGTCGGTGATGATAACGGGATGGTGTGTACAGTTTAGTTTGCAATTTATTCACTTTTATCGTGACATTCACTTCGCAGAAATCTAGTAATTATGACACTGCTAACGTTCTATATTCATCATAATAATTACAATTAGTTTACTTTTACAATACCAATCGAGCAACTCGCGGAAAATAATAATACGAACACAACAACGAATCTATAAAAGTCTAGAAGTATGTAGAAATATGCACACAGATTAATAATCTAACCGTAAATGATAACGTTTGAAAATATTATTATTAGAAATATTACGAAATAAGGAATGATTAGAAATATTATCAAATATTAGCTTAACAAAGATATCGCTGACCAAATCTCACTAACTATCCCTTTTCAAGCCAGAAAAGCATAATCTTATAACTAAACTGTACAATATTTTGTAAAGTTTCGTATAAAGAATCTTTTTTCATTTTTTCTTTACTATGTGTAATACTATTGACCTTAAAAATTTTCAAATTTCACCCTAAACCACCCTGAGATTTAAAAATAACGATTTACACGGTAAAAGTAGAATAACTTGAAGAATATTCATCGACTGCTGATATATTTTCAAATGTCTGATAAATCAACGAATTTACTGAAGATATTCCTGTACTTCCTAACCATCTATAAGAGGATTGGTAACAGTGGCGTGGCTCGAGCATGCGAAACACTTTCACGTGGACTATTAAATTTCACGGCTACGTTAATCAACATGTTCTAGGTGAAGGTATGAACGTATCTCATTGTTGGCGTGAAGCAGAAACAACAATTAACTTGAATAAGGAAGCTTGGCCATCGAGGGTTAGACTGTCCGGTTTAGGGTGTTGCGGTTCGCTGATCGTTCTACCAGTTCTTCCTGCTTAGACGCGATTAAAACTTCTCTTTCTTTCTGGATGATGGTTAAAAATGTTGGCTAAAGAAATGCTGAGACGAAACGTAACTAGAATATCACAGGTATTCTTTAGTTTAAATACGGTATGTGAAACTGTTAAATAAACGAGCACTTATTAATATTGTTTCATTGTTCAGGAATGTATAAGTACAACTGAGATGTTTTATATAAAGTATTGTTTATTTATGATATTCTCTGTACGTGGAAATTTTTACTGCACCTGTAGGATTTTTCAAAATTTTGGAAATAATTATAATTCACTTACTGCCACTGCAATAAATTATTATCAATAAAAAGAAGAAACATGTATAATTCATTTATGATATTCTCTATATGTGGAAATTTTTAATGCACCTGTAGAATTTTTAGAAATTTTAGAAACAATTATAATTCACTTACTACCTCTACAATAAAATGTCACAAATAACAAGAAGGGATATTTATTTACAAGGAGATTGATAATAATGAATAAAAACAGAATATTCTGTATATTTATTGCAACAAATCACTTTTATAAGTTTGCACATCTTTTTTCCGTATTGCACACAAGGAAGCTCGGTAATTTAAAAAATACAGAAGTGTTCATATATTGCATTTACGATACGTAAATAGTTTTTAATACGTTATAAATAAACGTCTATCTTTTATTCAATGGTTCATTAAAGAAATTAGCTACATCTTGAGATATATTAATAAAATGTCTTCAATAAGACAGATGTGTCAATGTAAGTATTTTCAACGTCAAAAACTTTCTGTGTCGTTTGTCAAAAAGTAGCACCTAACTGTGTTCTTCGTCACATCGACGTCGTTTTCCTGGTGCATTCCGTGTCAGTCGTTCGAGAAGAGGTCGCGATTGGATATTCAATTAGAAACGTAATGTACAAGCATGTGAGCTGCATTTTGTATGTGAAGTCGTTGTGGACAATTGAATTTTACAATACCCGGGTCTTTCTAATATTTTTTTGTTAAATATTAATATCCTATCAGAAGTTACTATTTTTTTCTTTATCCAAGGGTGTAACAAATTTTTGAAAAATATTTGTTTCTTCCCAACTGAAACCTACCAAGTATGTTAAATTCGTCATTTTTCACTCGGAAATTCCCAAAATGAAACCGCTTACTAAAATAAAGGACACTGTAAATAAATGGACGAGGAAGTAGTAGTGAATCTCATTTATCGAATAATATCCTCTTGTGAATGTAAAATATCTATTGTAATTAGATATATTAAACCATAACTTCAAATATCGAATAAATTTTCCAAATTCTCGCATTTCTTCTTTACACACGATAAATCTTTTCTAAAAGATGAAAAGATATCGTCGACATTTATAGTGACTAGACGTGCTAATTTTGAAAGCTCTGTATTGATTTCATTTCTGTACTGAATGTTGTACCGATTTTAAGAAAAACCAATTGTAAATATACAAAAATATATGTATATATAATTAAAATAATTGAATATCTTTACGAGTGTTCTAACAGAAGAATTGACAGAAATATGAGAAGATAAGGACTCGAACCGTCAGTTGGGGCCAATGTAATGTATTCACCGCGCATGCGCAAGTTTTGTCGTCCTGCAAATTCTGAAAATGGTCCTCGTTTTCACCTGTATTCTCCTTTAATTTTTATTATTTTATCCACAGCTTACTTCTAATTATTCCCGTTGAGGTTATTCTCTTCATTGTGTATCAATTCAAGTACTCTTTTGTGGAACTATAGAAATTAATTTTTTTACGTATTTTGACATATCAGTGCTGGACGTATAGAGTAGGTATAGTCGGTGGAAGAAATATAGCGAGGTTGTAAAATTGCCCAAGTGTCTTTACAAATTCGAACATGTCGACAAGCAAATCGACAAAAGCCTGAGAAGATAAAGAGTCGATACCTCAGTCAATGAAGTTATGCCTTAATTCTGATTTAATCCTAATCGAAAAACGAAAAATGCTGCTTTGACCCTATATAGTGTTACTCCATCAATCGATGCCGCTACTCAATCCTTTCACGACTGTTGGTGCCTGTAGGCGCTTTGAAAATTCGCTCAAACTGTGCTCTTGATGTCTATAGGCATTTTGAAAATTTGCTCGCACTGTGCCATTAACGTCTACATCAATCGATAACGTTACTTAATGTTTTAATTTGCAACCTCGCTAAATTTGTTGCACCAGCTATACACATATTAGACATCGCGATATTATTTCATAAGAATCGTCTACACGAAAAGTATTTCTTCTACGGAAACGAAGCTTTTAAAATTCCATTCCTTGATTGTTGGAACAACACGCGCAGAAAATGCAGCAAAAAAGCTTGAGCGTGCTTCCGATCAGGTTAAATCGATATCTTATGAAGTCGTATGAGAGCCTAAGTTGGAAATTTAATTAACTCGCGATTAGTATCGTGCCAGTCGGATTTACATGGACATCACTGAAAACAACATTACGATCAAGTGTCTAGATTTATTCTCAGTACAGTACCTACTAATTTAAATTGTGTACTTTAAGAA